GAGGGTTGGACTAGATGACCCACAGAGGTCCCTTCCAACCCCTAACATTCTGTGATTCTGTGACACTTCCCTCCCCACTGTGTTACTGAAGCCTCCCCTGTCACTCTTGGCTGAGTAACAGTGATGGGGGAGATGCAACCGCAGCCAGCCTTGCTCCTCCTGGACCACGTTTTCCAAGGCAAACACATCTTCTGAGTATCTCTTCTACGAGCTACAGCACTGTCCCTGTTGGATGACAGCTGCTGGGTTTGGGACATAGCCACAGAAATATTTTCAATCCCAAGGCAGCAGGAAAAGCAGCCTTTGCCTCCACACGCTGAATCTGCATTGCACTGGTGGTGCGTAGCTCCGTAAGAGAGCTTTGCTGCTGCCTAGCCCTTCGCAGGTCACATAAAGGACAAGGGTGATGCGGTCCTTCTTCTCTGTAGAGCAAATTTGGGATAAAAAAATTATCATAATTATTTTATTTAGCCTTGATTTTCTTCTTGTCTTTGACTGTGTTATGTTTTAACTGAGATTTCTTTATTTCCTGCTAGGATTCTGCCAGAATCCTGTCATTTCATACACAGGTTGAAATGTGTATTACAAAAGGAAACAAATCTTTCCCTTGACTGCCTGATATATCCACTTTTTAATCTAGATAGACAAATGCACTTCAGAACTGTTGCATTTTATTTTCCATTGTTTGATGTCCTTTGGCTAGAGTCTGGGAAGGAGAAAAACTGTATCGTCTTTCTCTGCCTACCCTTCGATTAATCATTTTTATTATGGCAATATCCAGACCCAAGCATCTTGTAATCACTGTCTTAGGTATTGCACAAGCGTAGAACAAAAGGGTGAGCCCTGCCACCAGAAAGCAGCTCCTGAGGCTGTTTTTAATGATCCCCAGCACCGTGGGGACTGCGGCCCGTGGCTCCGTGCAGAAAACAAATGGGATTAGAATGTCCCTGGCTCCCTGTCTACCTGGATGAAAAACGTACACTAACTGCCTCTGCGAGTGCTTTGGACAAAATACCCAGTGCCACAAGGGCATGAAACACAAGGACAGATGCAAATACAGCTTATTTAAGCCAGTGCCTGAGCTAGGCATCAGCAGTCCTTTATCTGTATTGCACCTTCTTCTGTTCGTAATGTCACTGCTCCCATCTTTATTGCTATTTTCTGTTATTTCTGTTACGCTTGTTTTTACAGACATTTGCAGGCTGGTTGTCCCTCGGGGTTATTAATTCTTTGCACAACGGCAGCAGAAGAACAAAGCGGAGCTTTAGCAAAACAGTTTGCAGCGATAAACACCACACAGACAGGTCCCTTTTTTCACCCCCAATGAAGAACTGCTCATGAAGAGTAATGGCCTTCTTTCCTACCTTGCAGGTGCTGTGGTGATTGCCTTCGTGGTCTGTTGGCTCCCTTATCACATACGGCGGCTGATGTTTTGCTATGTCCCCTCCAGTCACTGGACAGAGTGAGTCAGGTCTTGGAGGACAAGCTCCCCCCACGCCAGGACAGGCACGGGGTTGGGCTGGAGCAGGGGCTGCCAGGGCACCAGCAGACTGGGGGTGGAGGTGGGGATCTGGGAGCAAAGGTGTTCTCCACGCAGGGGGTTAAAGCCTCAACCTCCTAATTGGTGTTTTCGGTTTTTCTTTTGGATTTCTTCCCGTGATTGCTAGTGAAATTATGAGTCTCAGATTTATCACCGAAATCCCCCGGATGTGGGTGAAGAAAGCATTAGCTTGAACCGAAATGCATCATCAGCCCTTCCTTCTTCTGTGGCTGCGACCACAGACTTGCCCCCGTTAACAACAGCAATGGGTATTCACTTCTGACAGTCCTTGGTGAAATGACATTTGGACAGGGGTTTTACACATCCGAACTGGATGGCTGTTTCTGTAGTGGAGGTATCAATCACCAGCCCTAAGACAGAGCAGCTCCTGTCAACACACAATTTAGCTCCACTACGCCACATTGCCTGAGTGACAGGAGAGATTACACAGGTGGGGAAAGAACTGTACTGCTTGCTGAGCCTGGGGCAGGTTATTTACTGGGTTTGCAGGACTGGATCAAAATTAAATGCTAGCAGTTGCCACTGATTAGAAAATGCCCAGCTTCTCAGAGAATTTAGGGATACTTGCACACCTATGCAGAATGGATGTGTGCTGCTCACAGGCGTGCAAGGGCACACGAGCAGCTCCGTGCAGCCTTTCTGCCGCGTCGGGCCAGGTTCCTCAGCAAAGCAGCCACAGAACGGATTATTCGTCTTAAATATGCAAACAAGCATTAATGCCATCTGGGGATATACACCCAAGTAGCCTGAGATGCCATGAGATGTTCTCAGTGAAAAATGTGTCTTTCCTCCCATGGTGTTCTCTCTGGGACCAGGTCTGTTTCTTACAATGAACAGGAAAAGAAAAAATTATCTGCAATACCAAAAGGCAGAGCAACTCTGAGACATTAAAATTTCCTAAACTCCAAGTACAAAAAATCAGTGATTTACAACATAGCAGTCTACTGAATGGTACCGAACTGTACATCCACCCGTAGTAAAAACCATAAACCACAAACCAAAACCTATCTTCAATCATAAAAACAGAGCTCTAGGCACACAGTGGGACAAACTATTGTTTCTTCTTTGCTCTCGTATATGAAAAGTACCTAAAGTAGCAATCAATTATGTAAAGACTCCATTTGCTTTGAGCAAGAGGGGTAGCGAAGTGTGTCTGCAGTTAGTGTGAATTTAAGCATTGTGGTTGCATTCACATATATTTTTTTCTTCTTTTAAAACCCACAAGTGATTTTAGGAAAACACTGAATTTACAGGCCTATTATGAATGGTGAACTATTAGCAAGGCAACTAATCAAAACCTTGCAGCAGCTTGACATGTTCATTTATAAATGCATCTGCCTGCCCCTGAAGAAGAGAAATTTTTGCTATATTAATTCTTCACATCTATATAGAGAAACTCTACTTGCAAGAGCTAATGGGCCATGCAGTACTTGGCAGTGCTGAGGGGATGTGGAGGGATTGGTGATGTACACCAGCACATGTCTATTTATCTTCTGTTAGACAGTGCTCAGACTTACAAAAAGGTCTGCAATTTCCACTGAGATAAATGATCCTGGGGAACATCTTCCTGAAACGAGACTCATGTTGTTTATAAACCCTTTACCAGCTCAGAGCTGTTGATCTCAGTTGTCCCAAGGAAAGATATTTCCAAAAGAAAACAAAATAACTAAGCATTTTCAACCAATTCTAGTTGAAAACATTACATGGTGATGGTCAGGATATGTTTCAAAAGCATGCTGTCGTCATCTTGCCCCCAGAACAGAGAATGCTATCCCAGGTTACAGACAAATCCCAACCCAGGGACCCGCTGCATGAGCTGATGCAGCTCTCACTGCTGAGGGGAGGAGAGCACTGCATCTGTTACCAGATCTCGGCTCTTCTGCAGGCTCTGTAGACCAGAACTGCAGCCAGAAAAGCCAAGCTAATGCATGACACAGAAACAAATTTGCATCTGGCTTCTCAGTTTCCAGAATGTCTGTTTTTGAAGACAAAATAAACGCACAAGGTAATGATCACATCCGGACCCAGGGCATAAAAAAGTTTTAACTGCTAGTGATTGGAGTAAGCCCTTTGTAGAGGTGTTTGACCGACATATGGCCAGTCCCAGTTGAAAACATAGATGTTTTCCTGGTGGTTCATGCACTGATTCCCACTGGCAAGCTCACGTCCCCAGCCAAGAAAGGTTAGCTGAAAAAACAGCTCATGTTTTTCTCACCCTTGTGACTTTGAATTATTTCACTTATCCACATTCTAACTAGATTTTTTTCTTTCCTCTGTTCTTCCAGTTTCCTTTACAACTTCTACCACTACTTCTACATGCTGACAAACGTCCTCTTCTATGTCAGTTCAGCAATCAACCCCATCCTTTATAACCTGGTGTCTGCAAACTTCCGACAGATCTTCCTCTCTACCCTCACACTCCTGTGCCTGCCATGGAGGAAGAAGAAGAAACGACTGGGCTTCACCAGGAAATCCAACAGCATCTCCAGCAACCACACGTTTTCCAGCCAGGTCACAAGGGAAACTACATACTGAAGCCAAAGGAGGAAGGGAAATGCATTTCATCGTGGAGTCAAAACTTGAGAGAGGCCTCTGTGACTTTCATGCATGGTCTCTAAATTCACCTAACACAAAAGTGTTTAGCAAAGTCATATTTGTTGGAAAAATAGGCTTCATTCTGCCAGTAACTTTGAGGTTATTTTAAAGCATTGGCCTTGCCTCTTGTGAGTAATGTCTACACGTTTTGTAACTTCAGTCTGGCATAAATCCAAGTGCAGTGGTAACTGGGAAGCCAAATATCTTAAACTTAGGCAAAATCATACTGCATTTCATCCTTTGCTTAGTGCAGAGATGCCATGTTCATACCCAAGGGTTTGAGGTCACGTCTCTTGGTGACACCGAGCAGACAGTCTGATGAGGAGAAAGCAGTTTTGAACACAAAGGGATGTTTTTGGAGAATGGACACGCTCCTTTATGGCATGTTCAATGAACAAGGAGTGGAAACTCAGGGAGCCAGGTGGTTATTTTAGAAATATATCTAAATTGTGATTAATATGACCTAGGTGCTGAAGAGAGCCGCTCTGGCTCCTTGAAATTAAATAACAATAGATTATGCCTTACGTAGATTGGGGTGGCTGTGGCCTGGGGGAATGGGGGTCACCATTCTCTTCAGGGCATGTATAGTGCCTGGCACAGTGAACCCCATCTCTTGCTGGTATTGGTACTGCAACATCAGTAAATAATAAAGTCTCTGACAAAGTCAAGAATGCAGAAACGGCCTAGCTGGAATGCTGAAAATAAACAGAAATGGAAAATCTTACTGTTGCCATGCAGTCAAATTCTATTTTTTGCCAGGGAGAACAGTTAGCTGGCCTGCATTAAGAGGTGAGAAAACTCCAGGCTCATGAGGGCTCCAGGCTGCTGAGGTAAGAGCAACCTGCACCAATTCTGTGGGACCTTCAGATTTCTCCCATTCTTATTCCTGTTTTACTTGTTTCCTCACCATTTTTACAAGGCTGACATCTCACAGGTTGTATCAGTTGTAGGCAGCAGGACCTCTTGACAAGCTCAAGGGCTTTTCCCCCTGTCCCAACAGCAGACGGTGACCTGTGTGAACCTGGAACCAACCAATCATTTTGGGCAATCTCTGCTGTGGTTTTGCTGGTGGTGACCTTGCATCCCCTTTCACACCACACTTCATTAGGAGAGTAGGGCTTGTCTCTTTATGACGGCAAACTAGAAGAGTCACTTGGCTCAATTCAGCTTTCTGGGCTTTGCCCAGACCCTGTCACTCTTCAGCTAATGAACACCCTTGGTACGTAACAGAAGTCTCAGTGCTGGAGATGTGGATCTGGCCCTATGAACCATCACACAGTGATGGAGACCACTTACTGATCCACTGCGTGCCAGTGACTTCTCCTGCTACTGATGTGGTATCTTGTGGGTTAGGCCCTGTGGGGCTCAGGGCACAAAGAAAACACATCTGGGGCATTTACTCTGAGTTGTGAGTGATGGGTGTCTGCTTCCAAGGCGTTTATAACCTGGCAGTTGTACAGAGCTAGCTACCATGGTAGACCTGGCTACCATCAGCCATAACCTCCAACCACACCTACCAGAGATGAGAGATAATTTTAATGCCTAATACAGAACCACTCCCAAAGAAAGGGCTCAAAATATAAATCAGCAGGACTGTAGTTTCTTCTGATTCAGCCAAACTGCAAGCTCTGTTCTGTCATGCCTTCTTTCAATTTCTTGCCCTAGTTGAACCGAACAGAGGGCAGAGATTATATTTGACAAAGCACTTTTGTTGCTCATGCACAGCTGACTCCTCTTTGTCAAGAAAAACAGGTAATGGCACACAAGAAAAAAAAAAAGGAAAGAAATCTGTGAGAAACCAGCAAAAGTTATCTGTGTGTTAGAATGGCGTGGGTGGATTGGAAGAAGAAGCTCTAGGAGACCTTTTCATACTGCCTTGGGGGAAAGTCCAGGTACGACGAGCAGAGGAAGAGGAGTCTTAATGCCACACACTTAACATTGGCCTTCCAGGCAAGGCACTTTCAATGTTTCTGGAGAGGACCCAAATTTTTTAGCTTCACCTCTAAATGGAGTCAACAGCTGGGAGGTGGTTTCTGAAACCTCCCACGGAAGCTGTTAACTGTGTGTTGCTTTGACTTTCGTTAGGATTTAACACTCTGCGTGTCTCAGTTTCTTCTGAAATGTTAAATATTATTGATATACTTGTTCAACACCAACCTGCTGAAATGTGCTTGATTATCTTAGAAAACACTGTACAAAAATTGTTGTTTCACATAAGATGCTTGGCTTAGATCTTCATTACTGAGATACACTGGCAGTTTACAGAATATTTGATCACAGCTCAGAGAAACTAGTAGGCTTATTTTTGGATTGACATGAAAATGGGAACAAGCTGAGTAAAAACGAACTTACCATAAACTCTTTCTGCAACGTTTGTTGGGTCACTCAAGCCCTAAAGAGCTGACTGTTTGGAGGGATCCATCCAAGCGGTTTGCTGGCTGCTACAGCTCTGTCTCTGCAGTTTAATGCGGGAGCAGACCTGAGTCTATGGCCTTAATCTCAGATTGCAGCTCAAAGCTACCTCTTCCACTGCCCAAATCTGACTACCCTGAGCTGAATAGTGCAAGTTGCAGCTGATTTCATCCTCTCTCTCCTCCTCACCTAGTTTTGCTATATTTGACCTAGAAATTTAGTTCCCTTGAGCTCAAAGAAGTGAGGATAATTCACTGCAAGACCCCACGGTTTTGTACAGGAAAGCATGACACCATAGAGAGGAAAAAGGTACAAACTGCCCAGTATATTCCAGAAAAATATTTCTTTCCATGCCTTTTAACAACGGTTGAACGACTAACCCAACAAGGTTTAACTTTAAACCTAATGAATTATAAGTGGCTTTTGCCATTAGACAAAATGCATCCTCGCATCCTTTGTATTCCTGCCTTGTGTGGACTCTCTGCTGGGGCAGAGAGGTGAGCGCTGGTGCGGCATGCTGTTAATCTATGCAAATCTCCTGTAAGTGTTTCCAACTATTTGTTTAGACTGAAAACAAATCTGTTGAACCCACAGATGTGAAGCGCTGCCAGATGGATTCTGAGAAATTCCCATCTGAAGAGTGTCTATCAAGTGACCTCTTCAAATATTATTTGGAGGTTTCGTTTCTCTTCACAGTGTACCTGTCAGGGCCATCCATTTGGCAGCAGTGCAAAATCACATTTCCAAAATCCTTACACTATTCGGAAACTTCCCCCAGCCAGGACTCTCTCACCAAAGGCCCCATACACATCAGTGCTTGAACGCTCTGCTGAGCTTGTATTTCTTGTAAAGTGCATGAGGTCTCGCTTCGGTGACTGCACCCGTAAAGGAGAAAACCAAATGGAAAACTCAAGAGAGGAGGGTTAGCAGGACCCGTGCTGTAAACATGACAAGAGCAAGACCTTTGCATTTATAGCGTCAAACGTTTAGTGAAATAAAAACCCAGGTGTGCTGCTGCTGCAGGCAGCTCGCTGCAGGGCTGAACCCACCATCGGTGGGGCTGCCACTGCTGCCCGCCCTCGGGGAGGGACAGAAGTCTGCAGGGCATGCGAGCGCTGGGGCTTTCCCCTTCAACGCCTTGAGTGTTAGTCTGGTATCTTCCTGGTTGTGGTGTTCAGTAAGTGTTTAAACAAAGCTGCATCTGCCAGAGCTTTGTCTGGTTCTTCACATTACAGCTCTACGAGTTCTGCTGTTTTCGGTCTCGATTCGTTTCGTGGGAAAGCAGAAATTGCTGATCCAAAATTTCGTGATGCTGTGTCCTGGCTTTGTGATCGAGAGTCCTTCCCCAGCCGCGCCGCCTGATAGTCCTGCACATACTGTATTTATGGCAAATATTTTTTAAAGCGCACTTTTTTTTTTTCTGAAATACAAAAATGTTGATGTGCTTTATTTTTTGTGGCCTGTTGTGCAATGAGAAAAAAAACGAATGTTAAAAGCGTGTCAGTGTCTCCTTTGTAATATTCTCAGTGACAAAGGGAAGCAAGAGGGTGTGAAATCCTTTTGTGTAGCAAAGGAAAACAATCTTTCGATGTAACATGCTATTATTGATACTGTATTTACTGATGAAACTGTAATGAAATGGTTACTTCCTGATATAGCCTTTGTACTGTATGGCATTATATTTTATTTTGTCATTTATTGATCCTAAAAAATAAATATCCAAATTTAAGGCTTGGGCTGGTTATGCTTGAAATGGCAGCTGCGCCTTTCTCGTACAGCCTGCTTACCAGCACAGGCTAGCTGGTTGTGGTCTAAACTGGTGAAATCTCATCGACCTTGAACTGACCTTTGCTCCTCCCCTGCTGAAGGGCCCCCGAGGGCTCCTCTCCCGCAGCCTCCAAGCACTGGCTGTTCAGCACAAACGCAGCTTCCAACCATCAGCTGCTGCTTGTGTCTGCAAGGCGGCAAATAAACGGGGGGAAAGACTAGCTAGGTTTGAGGAAGACTCCCATCAGCAGACTTTGCCCTGAGAGATCCCTCCAGAGATCTGGCGAAACCAAAGGGGGTCCGTGCTGGTCCCCAGTCCCGCTATGCTGTTAGGAGAGAAACGGAGATCATCCAGCTCCCTTTGGTTGAACCCCTGGGCTCTGAGCATGTGGCATGCACAAGCATGAAGCGTGGGAGCGGACATCTCCTGGGCTTCAAGGAGGACCCATGCTGCGCAGAGGGCAGCTGCTGTGCTGAGGTCCAGGCAGTTCTACTGGAGCCTGGCTGTTTTCTGAACTGCCTTGTTGGTCTTGCCTGCTGGCTTTCCCCTGTCATAGGGCGAACGTTAAAGACAGAGTACCTTGGCTATTATTTCTGCAGTGGTTCTGCCCAGAAAACTGAGCAGAATAGTTGCACGAGGAGCTGGAGGTGCACAGCGAAGGAGAAAGCCCTCACCCCGGAGAATTTGTTGCTGAGGAACGAAGCAGGTTTACTCTGCCTTAACGGTGAGATTTCCCTTCTACCTTCTCCTCTGTTGCATGACCCGCTTCCTCGCTGGCACCCATTTTTCTAACAGAGACGCAATTCTGTGGGAACAGAATACTTGGGTATTGCCCGCTATGTTAAAGCGTCCTTACACTTAATGAGCGAAAATCAGTCACCTCCATCCTCCCTGCAGCTCGTGGTTAAAGTTCTGTTGGGAAATAGCACAGCTGAACACCAGCAAAATCCACAAAAATCTTCACAGTTTTTAGCCATTTGAACCTGTTGTTTTGATTTCTGGCAGAGGGAAAGGTTGCTTGCAAAGCAGCAGCAAAACAAAGTTTAAATATTTGGAAGCATTCATGCCTGGAAAATTCATCTTCTAAAATCTCACTGAAATGCATCACCTCTCTGAAAGCATTTTGGTGCTGCTTCCGGATGAGAAGAGCAGCAGCCTCCGTTGTCCCTACACCACAAATTGTTACACAATCAAATAATTTATTTTATGGATCCTTTTATTTGGCATTCAGCCCTGCTCTGTTAAATGGTGTATTTTCAGTCCACTGCCTAAGGAGCTGCAATTGGTGTCTTCAGCAGCGAAAGTCTACAACTCGCGGCAACATTTTTGTTTTCTGGCTGCAGATTTTTGTGCAGGGCAGGATGCTCCCAGTGGAGCCTCCATTGCTTATGCAGAAATCCAGACCATGTTCAAGGTGGAGTGAAAAATGTTGCCCTCTGCTCGTGACTTCTCTAGCTCGGGGCTGACTCCTTGAAAAAGCAAAACTCCCGGGAACCGGAGCTCCTCACTCCACCCTTGCAGCCCTCCCACTGAATGTCACGCAATCGGGCATCCCATCACGCCCCACCGATGCAGAGGGAAACAAAGGGCTGTGGTGAGTCAATTAATTTCTTTTTTCTTTTTTCTTTTATAAAGGCAGAAAGACTGTGCCTCAAGCAATGAGGAATGCTTTAAATTTGGCCCATATTTCTCATTTCAATTATAAAAGTAATTTCCATAGCTCACAAGAAGAAAATTTCAGGTGCCTTTTGAAACAAATGTTATGTTTAAGTAAATGGCTTCATAAAACTTAATAAACATCCATCCAGAAGTTAATTTATTTAAAATGTCTTTAAATCCTCATCTGTCTTATTGAATCTGTTTGAACTGTAGATCGGGTTGGAGTATATTCATGAGGGTATTTAAGCAAGCAGGCAGCGCATCCCGGTTATTATTACAGGTCTCTTGTGGGCTGTGAATTATGAAGCAGAGCATGAAGCGACTTTGGGCACTCAAGTGCAAAACCCCTCCAGAAGTACATGAGCAGAGACACAGCCCCGAGTGCTGCGGGGTGGCTGAAACAAAGTGCTGGGGTTGTTTCCCAGGGGAAAAGTCACACGGGATGAGCACACACCAGCCAGCCCAGTCTCCACCAGCTGCCAGCCTAGCACTGGGCTCACACAGCCAAATGCCAGGGAGAAATGATGGTGAAGGAAAGTTTAGGACAGACAAACTGAGCCCACCAGCGACCGGAGCTACTAAAGAGAGAGAAAACACAATCGTTTTATTCTTGAAGACAGACTTACTGAAAGCAAAAGAAGTGGGAAGAGTCAAAAAAACTGAAATGAAGCTTAAACATCTCAGAGATGGTCAGAATACCATCACAGGTGTGAACACAACAGCCACACGCTTACCCATGCATGCACTTGCTATAAATTTTTGGTCTTTCCAGTGGGGACCTGTTCCTCTTGCTTGAAAGTACTGGCGGACTCAGCTGGTTTGTGTCACCAGCACCATGACATTTAATTACACTTGATGGTTTCTCTATGAAATCCTGAAGAAATGGGAAGCAATATCATTCACCCTTTTAATGCAAAAATGTAAATCCATCTTGTAAAGCAGGAACAGTCCACTCTGCTTTCACACTCCTGCTGCTCCACTGTGCATTGCTGAGATGTCTCAGCTTCGCTGTAAACTGAAGTTCCATGAACGACTACAAACACATAGCTCGGAAGATCTTCTTCAAGATCTGCAAAGGTACAGAAAGAATAAAGAACTCCTCTCTCATGAGTGACATTAGTATCTTGGATGGACCATTCATCCTCCCTCATCTTGATAAAATGCAGCATGAAGACGAAAGGTCAGGCACACCATATTTTGCCATTCCATTACCTTCAGTCACTTTAAGGACTGAACCAGCTAGCCTGGGATTTCTTTGCTCCTTTCTTCTGCTTCTCCTTTCTCCTGTCTTTGGACCCTGCTCAGTAGAAAGGGTATGTCCAACACTTCTGCTATGCAGCTTTCAGCCCCAGGCACCACCAAAACACATCATAATTAATCGGGATGTCTGATTGCTCTGTATCTCATCACTACTCCTTAACTACGTGATCTCCAATGAAAGTATTCACATACCTTTTTTCTTTATAGGTGTCTTGGGGCTGAGCAGGTATCAACAGTGAGTCACACAGGCCTGTGGTTCATCTCCCCGCCAAAGACAAACATGCAAGGGAAGAGTCCCAGGGCCAGAGCTACAAGGGAGGTTTGTAAAACTGCTGTTTTTCCAGAATCACAGAATCACAGAATCACAGAATCACAGAATGTTGAGGGTTGGAAGGGACCTCTAGTCCAACCCCCGAAGCACATGAAGGGAAGGCTGCTGCACAGCCCAGCTGGCGTTAAGGTAGTAGGCATTCTGAATAACTGGAGTGTGGGCTGCACAACATGGTGCTCGCTCCTCTGAAGTCACAGTTGTTGTGGAACAGCCTCCCCAGGCTCGGCTGGAGAGCAAGCACTCGGCCACTTCCATCCTGGACCTATGCGCTGTCCACAGTCACTTGTGGGCTTGCCAGCACCCCAGCATTTCATGAAAAAAATCACGAGGCAAGAGCCATCATTACCAAGATATAATAGTGTTAGCACACTGCTAACAACCCAGCACATTCCATACCTTCGTCGCTGCAAAGATGCTCTTGTTGTATGATATGGTTTTCAGGCACAGAAAACATAAAGGATTCACTGAAGATCTCTAATCTTATCTTCTTGTAGACCAGAGATTCAAACCCCAGTGTTTCCGGCACAGTCAACTCTGATTCATCTTTCCCTTCATTCAGCTTAAGCAGGTAGTCCATGAGATATTTTAAGCCTCCGTTTCAAGACGTATATTAGCAAAACATGCCAACATTCAGCGATTTAAAAGCAGCTTCTCTCTGGTTGTCAGCAACAGCAGCAACCTTGGCATAGCACTTGGCAGCTTTCAAAGTGTTCTTGACGGTGCCTTTATCCTTGGTGTCTGTTTCCATATAGAAAGCATACAGACTGCAGGAGGTGCAGCATAGTGTTCTGAATTTTAAAAATAGCCAAACAGGAATAAACTCCATTAAATGGGAATGACCTTAGTGGTGCCATGGACAACTATAACAAAATCTGTGACACCTGACATTTTCCATGTTTTAGTTCTTCTGTCCACTTGAAAAGCAGCTACGACTGTCAACAGCATTTTTGGTACAGCTCTCACACAGAGTACGCGTTCTTACGAAGTTCCACATCACTGCAGTAAATAATTTTTTAACTTCCTTCAGACTGACAACTGGGATAAGATTAAATTCTCTTTACCATCACCACAAGCATTAAATTAGATTATTTGTGACCATCCCAGAAAAACATCTTATGTAGCCCACAGTGGTTCTTGACTCAGACCTTGAGAGTCACCCCTCTTCTTCCTCTGGCCTTGATCTGGATTAGGACAAGCAGCAGGTATGGAGATTTCAAAGCTGGTCACCAATGACACCACAGCAAGACTGGTGAATTTTCTTGCCCAGAGAAGTGAGCATCCTTCCCGGGGGGAGCTGATCTAGCAAGACATGTATACACAAGCCTATAGGCTTTTGAAATGAAAGAAAATACAAATTTGTGGGGCATTTCTGAGCCCAGATGAAGGCCCACATGCACACCTGGTATAAATCAGTTTGCATCTTCGAAGAAGCCCAGTTTGTGTTTTTAAGTGACCCAGTCTAGCTCTGTTTGTCTCTCTTTTCTGAGTTTTTTTTTTTTTAAATAACATTTAGCAGGGGAAAAATGAAGCATTTCATTATGTTCGCGGCTCCACAGCCAATCTGAAATGCCAGAGGCGTTGATCAGATTAAAACAGAAATCACAGTTCGTAGCTTGTGTCTGGAAGGAACAAAGACTCCTGTCCTGATTTTGATTGAATGCAGGACAGTATCTCTTGCTTATTGTATATATTACAACGGCAAGAAGAGAGAGCATTTATCACAGCATGCCTCAGTGCTTTTTAATATACTGTTTATCCTATGGAGCTCACTGGCGTTCACCAAACACCCTTGCAGAATTCGCTTTGTATCTTAATAAGTTTTCATGCACTTTGGGAGACAGAGAAAAATACATCTTCCCATGCTGCCGCATCACTCCATTTATACGCCATTAAGAACAGCTTCTCATCAAAGGGCAATGTCCTTGGCTTAATAGAGCTAACTGGTAGAAATCTCTCTCCCCCTTGCTCTAGGGCGATATGATCTCTGTGAGACCAGCCGCGTTGTTACAATCTGATTTCTGGGGAAGAAGGGCTGTCTTCTGCTGGGAAAACATTTCATCAGTAAGCTTGAGAAAGAACAGGAGTAAGTGCGAGTGGCAGCTTTACACCTGTGGTGAACAGGAAAGCCAAAGCTACCCATAGGCGGACACTAAAATAAAAAATGTGGAGGGTTATCTCTGCTCAGTCATCAGTCTGGAAGGCAAATGCAAAATTAATGAAGCTCTGTACAAGGAGATAGAGGCAGAAAAGGCTTCCGCAGGGAGAAGCCCTCACTTTGCTTGGCCCCCCATTGAAATGCGTGCCAACTCAAAAGCTACTGACTTATCAACGCTCATCTTTGAAGAAGATTATGCCGTAGCAGTTTAAAACGTAGGAAGAAAGGTACAAAAAACTCCAAACGTCTTCAGAAGGCGTGGGAGAAATAAGCGCACAACGATAATTCTATTTGCTTTCTGAGTTTCTATACACATCATGTCATCAAAAGGACTTGTAGGCTTTTTCCAGAGAGAAGGCAGTTGTGTTAGCAACATCAGCATGTAACAAAAAACACTGGAAAAAAGGAAAATAAAAAAAAATAAAACATTCCGCTCCTGTCTGATTTTTGCATCTTCACAAATCAGTCAAAAGCTTTTCTCTTCAACCAAAATCTCACTTCCATTTGCTTACGACAATTGATCCCGCTGCGCAGATTGCCTCCAGGCTCAGGTCTGCCTGGTTGTTATATCCACCTCTGCAGGAGGCACCGTAGGGTTTAGAGATTGGTTGTCTTGATCACCACGAAAAGGCTGTTTTATCTGAGAGGGGGCTGTGAGTCACAGCAAGATTTTGATGAGGCCAATAGACTTCCCTAGAGGTTGGTGCCAGAGTGACAGAGAATTAGGAGCTACAGGACTGAAATCAAATACTGAATCAGATGATAGGATGGGAAAGATGTTTTGTTGGGCAACAACAGATAAAGCTGAGGATATTGCATATTCATTTGAAACTAAGCCTACTTTTTCTGAGGCACAAAATGGAATTTCTCAGGAAGCTGTCTAATTGCGCACAGAGAGAAATACAGAGTAGGACAGTGAAGGGAATGAACTGGAGGGGAAAGAGGGCTGATCAGACGATGCACCCGATGCAGTGGGATGAAGGAGGGGCATGGATACCGCCCCACTAACCCGCTCAGGAAAGCCTCCCCTCACCGAGTATCACAGTCAAGCAGGGAAGCAAAGAGTTAAGCTTGCTCACGTCTCCCAGCAAATGCTTGCTCCCACAATTGCTGTCTCTTTTTGGCCAGAGTTCTGTATTTTTCAACTGTTCTCAACTGTCTCTTTGAGCAATTATTCCAAAGTGCAACTGAGGACATTTTCCCTTCTGCTTAGATGAAATTCACTTCTGTTCAGTTTCGTAGCAGCTCCTTGGACCACCTAAAAGCATCTGCTGTCTTTAGTCTTTAATCTGAATACACCTAACTGCGGGGAGAGCTGCTAAAACACGTGGAAAGTCAGTGGGAAAGAGGGCAGAAGGGGAGAAAGAGGATCCGAGCTGATGCTGCAAAGGCTGAGGAAGGGGACACTCACCTGGCTTACAGGAGAAGGAGAGACGGGGGATAGCAAGGAAGGAGTTCAGCTTTCAAATTTGGGGAAGTATGCAGGATTATCTGCTGCCAAATACAGCTTCAGAGCAGGTCAAACTGCATCTTTACCAGTATCCCCCTTCCCACATCCATCTTTTCAATATCACAGATGTTTTCACAGTCATCCCTATTCTCCAAATCTTAATTTTGGAAAAAATCATCAGCCCCAGACCCATAAGGGTACAACTGTCTGTATTATTTCTTTCATCTCCACTTCAAATATTCACATCTTTCCAAACAGCTCCTCGTATTTAGGATTAACAAGTAGAAGTTTCCCTTGAGCAGCTGTGGTTACACCCCACAAATCTTTAAATTGATGATAACTTGTGTTTCTGTTCATAGCAAAGTATTTGCTCTATAAAATGGCTGGACTCAGTTCTACATTTTTGCTGTTTGTGAGCAGAAATATTTCTGGTTTATTGGCATGATGGGCAGATTTATTCCTAGCTTTGCTTTCTTTAATGAGACTGTAACTTTAAAAAGATTTACATAATGAGAGTCACAGTATACAGATTTCAGATAAATTTGTTCAGTGGTCAAGGCACAAAAGAGAAAATATTGCAGTTAAATTGAATGTTAGCATCTACCTACTATTCTACCAGCAATAATGAATGGCAATCTAAAATACGATTCAACTCTAAACATAAATATTCATAGCTAAAAGTTCTTCTTTTCCCTTAAACTGTTCTGTGATATTAAAAAATCTGATGTTTCAAAAGTCAAACACTGAGACCACATTATAACCAGGTGTACCCAGAAAAACTATGATGCAGAAAAGTGAATTTCCTCTCAAATAAATCATGAACTGTGGTGGGAGCAATGCTATATACTGAGAGTCAATGCATGAAATTTGCATAGATACAC